CTGATACTTTTTTTTAACATATGCATCTATTAAATATTCAAAAGATAAAACAATAGAAGTTACTAAAAATAGTAACACAACTGCTTATGAAGACTCAGCATTTATAAGAAACAGCACAAATTCATCTTGAATCTCCAAATTTAAAAAATAAAATAAAATAAAAAGGAAAGACCTTCTGGCATTAACAGAGTATTTTCTCAAGTCCTCATCTGTAGAAGAGGTGAGGGAGGCTCCCCTGCCTCCCGGGACTCCCATGCTGAAGGAGAACATGAGACAGGACAGGGCCCGCCTTGGCCTGGTCTGACATCCCCACAAACCCCACACCCAGCACGGAGATCGGGGAGCACTCATCATGGGCTTCGGGGTCCCCCACAAACGGCCCAGACGCACAGCCCTACATCTACCAATGGCAAAGGTCCTGGGGTAGAGAGGCATCTGTCGACCAAAGCCCACTCACCCCTTCCTAGAGACAGCTATAGGGACAGCCCAGCACCAAGCACCACTTACAAGGGTGCTAGCACGTCAACCGCCAGGCATCCCGACCCCTTTCATGTACTCAGCAACCCTGAGCTTTGTACCGCTAATATCCTCGCTTTGCATGGGGCAAACTGAGGTATGGCAGGCCCAGGGTCACATAGGCGGTCTGCTACCGAGCCAGGCCAGTGAACCAATAGGCAGCACTGTCCAGATGGACACCTTCTCCCACTGGATGTCCGGTTTCCTCCCCTGGAGTCAGGGAGAAAGCGTTTCTTTGCAAGACTGAGTTATGGACAAACCTCAGGGCATGGGTGTGAAGGAAACACAGTCAGTACCTCCTCCCAGCCCTGCTCCTTGACGGGGTGCACATCCAGCCGTGAAGACAGAGAGCAATACCAACCCACAGATCAGGACCACTTAATCCTGGAACAGATCCTCCATCCTCCCTTGGAATCTCTGGTAAGAATTCCAGCCCAGAATGTTAAGCCATCCGAGCCCAGAGGGACCTTCGAGACATTCCCTCCCAAAGGAAGGAATGTAGGCTGCAGGAAGGGGCCTGGTGGCACCCACGTCCTCCCTGGCAGGCTCCCCAGGTCGGGTCCCCAGGGGAAAGTCCACGATGACAATGTGGTCTGAGACTGCTCCACAAACACACTTCCTGCAGACCTCATCGGTCCTGCTGGCCTCCAAGGCTCTCTAGGACAAGAAGCTCACAGACATTCTTCTGTTCTTGGAGCCTCCAGGAAGCCCCAGCCTAACCTGGGCAGAGAAGAGACTTATCCAGGCAGCCGTGTGTCCTCCGGAGAGGAGGCCTCGTGACTGGGCCTGGAGAGAGCTGATAGGCTGCGCGGGTCTCTGCCTCCCACCCCCAGGAGTCGGCATCCCCTTTCATCTGTCCCTGGGCTTCTGGGAGCCTGAATTGACATGAGGTGCCAGGAAGGCATTAAACAGGCAACTAGGAACACCTGGGTGGCTCAGCAGTTGAGCGTCTGCCTTCAGCTCAGGGCATGATCCTGGTGTCCTGGGATCACGTCCTACATTGGGCTCCCTGCGAGGAGCCTGCTTCTCCCTCTGCCTCTGTCTCTCTCTGTCTCTCATGAATAAGTAAATAAAATCTTTTTTTAAAAAGTAAATAAACAGGCAGCAAACATAAAGCAAAGACAAAGGGCCACCCACATCTTACAGCCAAACGCCCCAGGAAGCCCTGTGACTTTCCACCCCTGCAGGTTCAGCTGCAGGCTAGAATAGGGTGAAAAGCCAGTGAAAATGGAGAAGAGGCACAGAAAACACAAAGAGGGACAGACGGGTGGGGCCAGCCAGCATTTCTGAATAAAGACACTCACTGCGGAGAAATAAAAAGAATAAAAAATTAAAAACCTCCTCCAACACTTCCAACTACCAGCTTTCTTTCTTTACTTCCCCTTGGAAGTCCCTTCTGGGCCTCTTGATAAAGGCCCAGGGAGAAGAGGGCGTGAGGGAACCTGCTCCAGGACTAGCAGAAGGGCAGGGAGGATGGCAGAGAAAAAGAGAACATAACCAGAGCCTCATCCGTGTCCCTGTCCCCGAGGGGGGGGGGGGGGAAGAAGCCAAGGAGAGTGACGGGAACAGTACCACTAAAAACAAGCTGAGTCAAAGGCCCATCTGTTGGCGAGGTAGCCGTCACTCTTAAGGTGCCCCAGGGGTGGGAAGGCCGGGCCCTTCTGCCTACCTAACACATCCCTGTAAGCTTGGGTACAAACCCCCTACCACCGCCACCGACGTGCGACTGCCCCCCACCACCACCACATGCACGCGCACAGAACAAGGCTTTACACACTTGCCCAGGGCTGGACTCTGCTTTGCAAGGAAAAGTGTCTCCTGGACTACAGGGCAGCATCTGTATCCCTCTGAAGGTAAGAGGGGGTCTGCCTCAGTGTTGGAAGTGCTCAAGTAGAAAGTGCTTTCCGTGGGGGTCTCCGGGTCTCCCAGTTGGGCCTGATCTAGGAGTTCAACAAAAGGAACAGAAGTATGGCACCTGCCCCTCTCATGCCTGTCTCCCCATCTGTACAACAAAGGGACCTGGATGACATGATCTCCCTTCCTGCTCTAAGAGTGTTACAAGGCCTGACATTCAGCTAAACAGCTCATCTGGTCTATCCAAGTCATCCTCCGCTGACACTGCCCCAAACATTCAGAGCAGAGCTTCAAATCATTTTCAAACATTTCTGGGTTTTCTCATCAGAGAAAGTCACTGACAATTCATCATCCATCAAAACCAGAGCCTCGCACCCCTAGACGGTGAATGTCGAAAACAGGACAGTGTCACCTCTGGGGCCACTAGAAATGACACCAACATTCATACCAAACACAACAGCAGCCAAGGGCTCCAGCCACCCTGTCAAGAAGGGCAGCTTTCCGCACCCAGTCTAGAAACGTGGCCACTAGGCGGCGCTACCCTGAAAGTAATAAAAAAGAAAAACTTGGTGTTTTCTTTTCCTTCTTAAGCTTCAGTGGCAAAATATCTAGATCTTCCCTAGTGAAAACACAAGTGGGGCTTCCTGAGGTTCCAGAATAGCCCAAGATCCTTTCTGCCTTCTCTTCGAAGCCAATATTCTGGCCAGAAGTAGTCATCCAGACTCTGAGGGCAAAAAACGTTTTTTGAGAAATTAAACCCCCATGCTGGACTTCCCCCAGAATGGTTGATATCAGAGCTTGCCCTGAACGCCCGTCCAGCCCCACTTAAAGACAGGGGGAGTCTATGAGGAGGGAAAGGCAATCTGCAAGTCCAGCAGCAGGACCCAGCCCCAAGTCTGGGCTGGAACTGTTTTGCGAGAGGCTCCTAATTAGCAAGCAAAACATACCAGCCAGATGACAAGCCTCATGCTTTAGCTGCAGACACAGGACGACACAAATACAGACAGCTCTCAGTAGGAAAGGGTGCAAGGTATTAACTGGGATTTCCCAAGACTCAGATGACTGCAGGAGGAGCTCCAGGGCCTAACACCAGAACAGGGCTTCAAAGATACGCCAAAGGGACTTCTCCACATTTCTTCGGGGTCTAGGGCACTTTTTCCATAACTGTGTGTGTGCGGTTGTGGTGCAACATTCAAGGGTCCTTTTCTAACGTTCCAAGGTCCTCAGACCCACTTCCAGAGTTCTAGCTGCAAATTCCTCCCGATTTCCTTGTGAATTCCCAGGCTGGTTGGCATGCCCTACCGACCATGAAAAGCTTGCTTTCTCCTAAGGAAGCCAGCCTGAGAAATGGCAGCCAACTCCATCCCCAGGCCAAGGGATGCAGAGCCAGGAGCTGTTTCATACAAGGTGCGCCCCTCCGGGTGCAGAGAACAGTGCCCTGAGGGTTTGCCCAGGGCAAAGGAGCAACAGGCCTTCGGGACAGGCAGGAGGGGCACCGAGGTGCCACAGGCTGGCAGGTGAAGGCCAGCTCAGACCCGCAGTGGCTCTGGTGCACCAGGAGATAAGGAAACCGAATTGTTCAATTCTGCAACATGTTTGGGGACCCAACAGGGACCAAAGTGCAAGTAGAACACGTTTTCAAGAATCAAATCTACCAAGTGGAGACGCTGCATAACAAAAGGATTCCACCTAGACTTTGCAAAAGGCTAGGGGAACCAGATTCTTAGGCTTTGGGTAAGAACAGGCTTTAACTAACAGCTTCCCAGAGGCAAAGCTACTGCTGTACGGCCAAGGTGAGGTGTACCTGACCCAAGACTAGAGGCTGCCGTAATAGACTAGGAATGTGATCGTGTTAAAACACCACGAATCTCCACCACTGAGCACCAGCGGGGGTGGGGGGGGTGGGGGGGTGTCAGGCAGAAGAAGGCCTTTGTACACCACATGCATTTACCTCCTCTGCACCAGCCACTCCCTGGCCATGGGACCCCATGCGGGAGGACCCCACCTCTCTGCAGATGGCTCCCCCTTCTCAGACATGTGGCCCAGAATCGCCACCCCGGTCAATTCTCAGGGCTGGTGCGAGGCTCTAATGAGACAGCAAATCACCACATGCATGCCAAGTATTGCTGCTCGCCGCACACAGGCTTAACCCAGGGACATGCAATGACAGCTCCGAGGGCTGCACACGCGGGGCGCACAGTAGGTGGTCCGCAAACCTACAAACAGCGGGGCCCTTCTCCCCACCAAGGGAAGGGAAGGAAGGGAAGGAAGGGAAGGGAAGGGAGGAAGACAAACACTTCGGTCCAAGAGCGGCCGCCAGCCCCACGCAGACAGCGGGGCTCCCGGACCTCCCGGGTGCCTCCTCCACCTTCAGCAGCGTCCCCAGCGCGCTCGGGGCAGCGGGGGGCGTCCCCAGCCGGGGTCCCGCCAACCGCCCGTCCTGGCCGCCGCAGCCACCTGGCCGCTCGGACTCCCGTCCCCGTCCCCGTCCCCGTCCCGATCCCCGTCCCGGTCCCCGTCCCGGTCCCCGTCCCCGCGCCTCCGCGGCCGCCCCGGCCGCCCCAACAGCCGCCAAGGCCGAGCGGGGCTCGGGCCGGGGCTCCCCGGGGGCCGGGCCCCGTCCTCCTCACCTGCACAGCTCGGCGAAGGCCTGGAAATTGAGCTTCTTGATTTTCTTCTCGCTCAGCCAGTAGCCAACTCTCTTCCCTTTCAGAAACGTCTGCATCTTCTTCCTCGGGCGGGGAGCTCGGGTCCGGAGGGAATCGCCCACAGGCCGAGCGTGGCGGCCCCGGCGCGCGCCGCGAGCGTGCGGGCACCTCCTCCGGCGGCGGGGACGCGGAACGCGGCTCGGGGCGCGCAGTCCTGCCGGGGCGGGGCGGGGCGGGGCGCGGCGGGGCGGGGCGGGGCGGGCGCCGGGCGGAGGGAGCGGCGCTCAGCGCGAAGAGCCACTGGCTGCCGCCGCCGCCGCCCCCGCCCCCGCCGCCCGCGGGGCGCGCCGGATCGCCGCGGCCCGGCCCGGCCCGGGAGCCGGGAGCCCGGAGCCCGAAGCCCGGGGGCCGCGCCGCGCGCCCCCCGCCCCCCCGTGGCGCCGGCGCAGGCCCGGCCCCGCGCCCCTCCAGGCCCCTCCTCCCCGCCCTCCGGTCCGCGCCCGCGGGCCCGCGCCCCAGCCCCGGCGGCGCCGTCTGCAGCCGCGAGCCGGGCGCCTGCCCTCCCCGGCGCGCTCGGACCCCGGCGGGGCGCACGCGGCCGCCCGCGCACCCCCGCCCCCGCCCCCGCCCTCGCCCCCGCCCCCGCCGCCCCGGGCCGCCGTCCTCACCCGCCGCCGCCGCCGCCGCCGCCGCCGGCGCCGCCGCCTCCTCGCCCTCGTCCCCGCGCGCAGCCGGAGCCCCGGCCGCCCCCGGCCCCGCCCCGCCGCCGCGCCCCGCCGCGCTGACCCGGCCGGCCGGCCCGCTGGACCCCGCCGGGGCGGAGGAAGCGCCGCGGCGCCGGCCGCTAGGGGGCAGCACCGCCCTCCGCCCTCCGCCCTCCGCCTCCGCCTCCGCCTCCGCCTCCGCCTCTTAAAGGCGCCGCGCCCTCCCGGCCTGGCTCTCTGCGGCGTGCTCGCGTCGGGGCCGGGCGGTGGGGCTTCGCGGCCGCGGGCGCGGGGCGGGTGCAGGCGGCCATTGCCGCGGGGTTGTTGCCCTTTAAAGGGGCGAGAGGAGCCCTGGCGCGGGCGTCCTCTGCCTGCCCTCGGGAGGGTCTTAACCTAAAGCGTCTCCGTGCCCCCAGCCGCCTGCCGCGCCCCCCCGCCCGGCTGCTTCCCGGGAACTGCAGCGGGGGGCGGATGCGGACGTCGGCTGAGGTCATCTCTCTCCCCTGGAGGAGGCCGACCTGGACGCCCGGGGCCTGCTCAGACTGAGGAAGGACTGACTCCCTCTCTGGGTCCCCTTCCAGCGAGTGGGGACGGGGCGGTCCTAGCCGCATCCAAAATAGGGGTGGAGCCCTCTCCAGAGACCCATTGCTTGTGGAGGGCAAGTCAGCGGTAGCCTCGGTGCCTTTGATTCACTGAACCCCGCCCCGCCCCGCCCTGCCCTGCCCTGCCCCGCCCCGCCCCGCCCCGCCCCGCCCCGCCCCGCCCCGCCCCGCCGCGCCCTGGCCCGTGGGGCAGTAGAGGAGCCTCCAGCCTTCCGAGAGCTCCGGGTTGGGGAGGGGAAGACTTCTCTCCTCAGGCCTAGGCTCTGGCAGGAAAAATGAATGAAGGGGCGGGGCTCAGAGTTTCCGGAGAGACTTTGAAGCTGGCCTGGGAAGATGAGGGAGGCTTTGGTAGGCCTAAGAAGGGGACTGAAGTAGGAGGAAAGAGCCAAGTTGTTAGGAATGACACCTTCTCCTTGACCGAACTTGAGCTCATTCTCTAAGGCCCAGACCCAGGGGCCTGCCTTCCTCCCCTAGCGACAACGTCCCCCACTCTTCTCACTATGGTCCTCCCAGTTGCAACTAGGAGAGGCTTGTCCGCCCCGAGACTTCAGGAGCGACCACACACGCCCACTGCCCGCACCTTCCACCTCTCGGAGCACTTGCTCCAAGAAATACCCAGAAAGAATACTTAGGGGAAGTACTTCTTGCTGTGTGACCTTGCAGTCTGCTTAGACTCTCTGGACCTCCAGAGCTCTATCTTGACCTCAAGAGATAAGCCCTGTCTCTGGAGAGCACTTGGAACTGCAAAAAAGCAGTGGCTGTAAGGTCTAAAATGTATGATGGTGTGCGGGGTGGGGTGTGGGGGGATGGAGAGACCGCAAAAGTAGAGATGTCTCTCATGTAATGGGAAGAACGGTCTTTGGCTTCTCCAGTTCAGCTCCTCCCAGCTTGGACGAGTCACTGTAGCCTTCCAAGCTTCAAGGTAGGGAAAGTAGTGCTTGCCTTAAAGATTGCAGTGAGGACGAGAACCGCGTAATGGGCTGGTCCTCAGTGAACCTTCAGAAACGGTGCTTGCTACTGGCTCATCTGAGGACTCTTAACTTGAGGCCCAGCTAAGAGCCCACCCCACCCCCGGGCTTCAGGAACCCCTCCAGCTGCCAGAAATTATGTACATAATAACGGCTTTTCACAAACTCTGGGGCTCCAGATTTGACCCAAAAGTTGAGTCACTAATTATTCCAACTTACTGTCTTGTCAATGAGGAAATAGGCCCAGAGAGGGAAGGGGATTTGCCCAAGGTCACCAAGCAAGTAGAAAAGGTTGCATCCCAGGGCCAAGGGGCCTCCCACATCACAGTCCTTCTGGAGGTAGGAGGGCAGGGAGTCGGGGGGAAAGGTTCTGAGAAGTGGACCACTGCCTAAGGTATAGCCAGATCCTTCCTATGCACTGGTGAGACCAGGGATCCACACACATTTCTCAGGACCCCTGGGCAGGTGCTGGCCTCAAGCCTCCTCTCCATTGAGAATGGGAACTTCAGTGGTTTTTTTATCTGTGTTACAAGATCTCAGTCCTGCCATGGAGGGGAGGCTCTGGGGCTAGAACCACCCTTCATAGCTGCCCACTTGGACTATAGGAGGGAACCGTTTTGCTTACCCCACTCCAGCCCAAGCAATCAATCAGTCTTTGGGTGGGAGCTGACCCTAGGGAGGGACATGACCTTGGGGCAAGTGTTTCTCAATTTATTACTGCCTCCACCACTTCCATCAACCCTTCCCTCCTTGTCTGTCCCCTGTAGTCCCAGCTAGTCTGTTCTCCACTCTTCAGCCAGAACAATATTCAGAAAGCAAATCCACTGTATTTGGAATAAAGCCAAAATTCCTTTTTTTTTTTTTAAGATTTTATTTATTTATTTGAGAGACAGGGAGAGACAGCAAGAGAGAGCAGGAGCTGGGACAGAAGTAGAGGGAGAGGGAGAAGCAAACTCCCCTCCAAGTAAGGAGCTCGATGTGAGACTCAATACCAGAACCCTGAGATCATTACCTGAGCCAAAGACAGATGCTCAACCAACTGAGCCACCCAGATGCCCCCAAACCAAAACTCCTTGACAAGACCACCGCCTCCCAGCCTCATCTCCCACCAAGTTTCCCCCACCCTGCCCCCACTATTCTAGCCTCTGTGATCCCTTCTGTCCCTAGGACCCTTAGACATCCAGTCCATTTTTCTGGTATGTTCTTCTCTCTTTTTGCTTATTAGCTCATCCACCAGCTCCCAGCCCAGGGGTCCCTTTCTGGCATCCCAACCATCTAGTCTCCCTACACTGTCTCCCTCTACTCTTCCCCACCCCACTGCTGCTCTCAATCACGTGTGCTCTCTCTAGCTCTCAAATAAATAAATAAAATCTTTAAAAATAAAATAAATGGGAATGACTATCAACACTAGTTCATAAGATTGTTAGAGGCTTAAAGGGGTGTAAATGTGTAAAGGACTATAAATTTGTAAAGGAGCTAAATCCATGAAGGGCTGTATCAGACACACCTTATGAGTGCTAGCCACCACTGTGCTGCCATTACTACATCATCCATGTGATGGATCTCTGCGGACATTAAAATAATTAAATAGAGGGGCACCCAGCTGGCTCAGTTGGTAGAGTATACAACTCTTGATCTCAGGGTCCTTGAGTTCAAGCCCCAGCCTGAGTGTGGAGCCTACCTAATTAAAATTGTCATTATCAACCAATAGAATATTAGTTCGTTCGTTCATTCACTAAACATTTATTGAGCACCTACTATTTGTGGGGCACTATTCTAGACACTAGGGATACCACCGTGATGAAAACTGCAAAAATCTCTGTTCTCGTGGAACCTATATTCTCCTGGAATGGACAAAGGGCATGCAAAATAAGTAAATAAATTGTGTAATGTATTACACAAGGGATACATGCCACAAACAAGCAATTAGGCATACTGAAGGAGACAGGAAATGGTGGATTGTGATCTTAATTGAGTGGTCAGGGTAAATCCCACTGGAAGGCAACATTTGAGCAAAAAGTGACAAAGGTGAGCAAAAAGGCATGCAGATATCTGGGGTAAGAGCTCTCAGGTACAGGAACAGCAAATGCCCTAAAATAGGCTTGGGCCTGGGTATTGACAAGGGACAGTTGGGGGGCCAGTCTGGCTGGAGCCAAATGTCAGAGGGGGAGTTAAGAGGAAAACCCAGAGAGAGAAGAGCCAGTTCACGTATGGCTCGTGGGCCACTGTGAGAAGGGCCTTGTACTCCAAATAAGATAGGATTCCTTGGGGCACCTAGGTGGCTCAGTGGTTGAGCATCTGCCTTTGGCTCAGGGCATGATCCTGGGGTCCTGGGATCCAGTCCCGAATTGGGCTCCCCACGTGGAGCCTGCTTCTCCCTCTGCCTATGTCTCTGCTTCTCTCTGTATGTCTCTCATACATACATATACATACATACATAACTATATGTGTACATATGTATACATACATATGTATGTATGTAAGACAGATTCTTTGAAGGAGCGCCTTGTCTGGTTTCCCCAGGGTGCTGTGGCCATGTGCAGGAGAGACTGAGTGGAGCAGTAAGGATGGCCCAGAGAGACCAGTTAGGATTCATTTGCAATAATCTGGGCAGGAAATGATGGTAGCTCAGACCTAGGCATAGCGCTGGAGGCAGTAAGAAGCAGTCACTTTCCAGATATTGCTTGAAGGATGGTCAGTGGGATTTGCCGGTAAGTGGGATATGGACAGCAAGACAGAAATCATGGATGTCTGAGGTTTCTGGCTTGGGAAGCTGTAAAAATGAAACTTCCAACAACTGAAACAGGGAAGACAGCAGGAAGTGAGGGGTTGGGAATTACACTGGAAGTCCTATTTGAACAGTTTAGGTTTGAAACATTTGTCTGACATCTGAGAGACATCAAGTAGGCCATTTGATAAGATTCAGGAGCATGACTCAAGCTAGAGATATAAAATCAGGAGTGGTCAGCACTGAGCTGGTACTGCAAGCCATGAGCCTGGGTGAGGTCACCAAGGATGTAGGCGTAGGTAGAGAAAAGTTCAAGGATGGACTTCAGGGGTATGACAGTGTTCAGAGGTCTGGGGGGAGCAGAGGCACCAGGAAAATGCTGAAGAGACGGGAGGAAAACCAGGAGAGTCCCAGCCCTGGGAGCCACATGAGGGAAGTGCTCCAGGAGGAAGGAGCAATCAGCAAGTGGCACAACAGAAAGACGGACAGATGGCCTTGGACCTGACAATGGGAAATCATTGGTGGCCTTCATAAGATGGAGTTTGGAAGAGTCTCTCAGATACATTAAGCCAAAAACAAAACAAAGCAAGTGCAATTCAGTATAGACAGTAGGCTGCCACCTAGTAAAAAAGTAGGGAACCACATGGCTTATGTATGTATATATAGACAGAAAATGTCTTGT